TTGAGTTGGTAAAACAATTCTCTTCCATCGCGTCGAGATTCGATCTTGAATGAATTGAATTTTCATCTCAAAGAAATCTGGCGGGAACAACGATCGGGAACGCTCCTGCGTAACAGTGAGAAATAGAATAATTCGGGATTTTGTGGATTTATCCACAAGAATACAGGGAAGACGTTGACACACGTCAACAAATACCCGATTTGTCGATAGACAAAGTTTATCGTTTTCAACGAAAAACTAAACGAAACGTCGCGGAGCAAAACGTGAACCTTCAACTCAAATTAAAACGAAAATTCATCGCCGTCCGGGGACCATTTCGAGTTACACAAGATCTATGAGATCCAGGAGAAACACGGAGGCAAGCAATCATCCTTTAATCACCGCGAACGCAACGGGCTGATTGAAATCGTGGAAACGCCACTGGTTGATTTATGCCTGTTACTTAAAGTTCCTCCACGGTGACCCGAATGACTGGAGGTCCCTGCATCGATTCCATTAGCGGCTTCTGTACGCCTCGCCGGCAGCGTGTTTCACCGGTAATCGTTCTCGAGAGAAGGTTTAGAAGGTGGGCATCTCGGTGAAATTTACGGTCGGTTCTCTGGCAGCCCTAATCTGGAGCTACTCCGCTCCGATTTGTTTCGAGGAGTGAAATTTTCGAGAGGCGACGCGCCACGGATCGTCTACCGCGTGTCATTTTGTTGTGTAATTGGCCGTTACCCAGGCGTGAATTAAAATTTACGGCGAGCCGAGTAGTGGAGGAGAACTTTCTATCAGCCGAGTCGAAACTTTTCCTGAAACCCTTGTTTGTAACCGCGTGAAAGTCCCGCACGTCTTTCTCAGATTCGAACGATCATTTGACCATTTTCGATGAACCGCGGACTGAGAGGGTTTAAGAAAGCCAAGGCTCGTTTATGGTATCGTTGTTAAGATAATCTTTCAGACATCCGAAAATGACTATAGAATAACATTTATATTGTTAACAAATATGTAGAACAATTTTTATATTGTTCAATGACCAACGTCTACCATTTAAATTTTTGTACGAATGTAACACGAAATACCAAATTATTATTAATTATAAAAATACCGACTCGGATTTAATAACCCTTTTACCAATTTTACAAACAGCAAACATTAATTTAGACAAAAGAAAGCAGGATTTCAATGAAAAATCTCAAAGCAGATTCATCTAAAAAGAAGGAAGAGGATGATGATTCTTGACAAATCAATGAATAAATTCGTGACTGAACAGTGGCACGCACAATACTTTTCCCTTATCAATCATCATTCATTACAAAATCACTGACTCTTACCAACATTTAATAACCTTCTTGCAAACAAAAATTGATCCAGATGACAAAAAAATTCTGACGAGAAATCTCAAACTACATTGTCATCCAAAGACAGAAAGATAGAGAAGACGATTCTTGACAGAGTCATTGTCGATGAATAAACTCGTCTGCTCAACGATGGCACGTGCAATACCTTTCCCTGATCAATCATCATTCATTACAAAATCACTGACTCTTACCAACATTTAATAACCTTCTTGCAAACAAATTAATCCAGACGACAAAAAATTCTGACGAGAAATCTCAAACCACATTGTCATCCAAAGACAGAAAGATAGAGAAGACGATTCTTGACAGAGTCATTGTCGATGAATAAACTCGTCTGCTCAACGATGGCGCGCACAATACCCTTTGGGGCAACTGGTTCGAATACCGCGCCGCAGCAGGTCCAAGCACGCTGTAAAAACACCAATCTCTCGCGTAAGAAGCTAAGACGGCAGGAATCCAAACAAAACCAGCCCATAAATCCACACCATTTTTCCAAGTGCGCCGCGCAAACACAGCGAGCAAAATTAAATACTCGACGCATGCTCGGCGAGACGAGAGGAAGAAAAGGGCGTGCAGCAGCCCGAGGAGAGGGGCTTTCGCGAGCAAAGCGCGAAGAAAGGTGGTAGCGCGGTTGGTTTCATGGGAAATCCGGTTACAATGTGGCTAATGGATGCGCGGCAACAGCTCGAGATTCACCGTGGCGAAATGACGGAGCGAAGCATCATTTTTCGTTGAACGGCCGAGGTAAATCGCCGCGCTCGTGGCTTTTTTTCTTTGCTTTTTTTTTCTTCTTCTTCTTCTTGCCAAACAAAGAAACCAAGTATGAGATCGGTATAAAAATTGTATAAAAATCGTAGAGTCTTTTTCATGTCTGCCTTGCTCGCAGGTCGAGTCTTTCTAGGTGTTTCAAAGGCTTTTCTAACGACGATCCTTCTGAATTTCATGAATTTGTCGTTTGTTGCGCTGGCAACTGATTGCGGACCATAACGAGTGACCAAAACCGTAATAATCCATTGCCTTTTTTTTTTTTTTGACGTCAGTACGATACCACTGGATAGAAATTATTGAGAAGTAATAAATTTATTATTTATTTTGCCTACTTTGTCTTAACTTAAATATACTTAAAACTGTGAGAATATTTCGATCTTTTGTTCCAAATTGCAACATTTTCTCAGTTTTAAGTATATTTAAATGTAACTCGGGCAAAATACATTTAAATACATAAATAATTACATAAATTTATTACTTTTCAACAGTTTCTATCCAGTGATATCATATCGACGAGTTCAAAAGAAAAAGAAAGCGACGAATTATTGTATACGGTTCGGTCACTCGTTATGGTCCGCAATCAGTCGCCAGCTCAAGTGGTTAAAGGTAAAAATACAATGAAATAAGCTAAAAAATTATCTGACCGTGTAAAATATTTCTCTTATTTGTTGTCTGTACGTCTTAATATTTGACGTATACTGAAAATACATTGAAATAAACTAAAAAAAAATTATCTGACCGTGTAAAATATATTACTCTTATTTGTTGTCTATGCGTCTTAACATTTGACGTATACTCAAAATACATTGAAATAAACTAAAAAAAATTATCTGACCGTGTAAAATATATTACTCTTATTTGTTGTCTTAATATTTTTTTGTAAAACCTACGATTATTGGTTAATACGTACGTTATGCTCTTCGCGTGTGGATTACAACGTGTCAAGGGAAAGAAGGTCAGAAGACTGTAAGAACGTGAAACGTTCAATCTCCATCAAAATGAAAAACATCAGGTCACACGTCGATGAACGTTTCGCGAATTGTCACGTTTCGCGCGAAATCTACAACGGCGGACGAGCCGACATTTTCAAGGATTCTCGACGAGTAAGTACCTTCACGGACTGGTGAGCGTTCCGAGAAGGACGAGAAAATAATACGACGCGGGATCGCGCGCCGCCACGAATAATTAAGCCGTTGTTAGTGCTGGTGCTGGCTCTGCTTTCTTCCCTTATTCGCGGCCGTAAAGCTCGTTTTCTCTGTCTTTTTTTTTTTTTTTTTCTGTGTTTAGGAAACGCAACGCGAGAAATATTTTGCTAGGGAAACCGAGGTTCTTCGAGAGAGAGAGAGAAAGGAATAGAGAGAGCTCGACGGATTCGTTAGCATACATTGTTTCGCGGATGCAACGAGCCTGTAACTCGTAGGGACAACCTCTTGCAGCGAGTCAACCGTTTACTCTCTTCTACGCGGACTCGGCGCGACGGTGCGCTTCATGGTGTTCGTTTTTTGTTCCGTGTCTAACGTAACGCGAAATGCTTCTTAAACGTTGGTCGCTACTGAAACATTTCTCCCGTTTACACAGTTTATCAAACTGTGTGTGTGTGTGTGTGTGTGTTACCAACCGATCGCTCCGAAAATATCAAATTTCTTTTTCTCTTTCTTGCTATCGAGATTTTAAATTCTCAAAACATCGACTTTTCGAAGCCTAACCGAAGGAGCATTGAACATTCCATACATTATATACGGAGATATCTGAGATATGTGATATTATTCCTATTACATGCATCGTATCCTGATGAATGATTAAACCGGATATCTCATAGATTATCGATACTATCGCTGGTATTACCTATTTAGGCGCATGATTTGCTCGTAAATCTTCATCCATCCATTTAACGTCCCCTACCTCATCCCTCTGGCAAAACGCGAGAAAGATACATCTCGACCGATTCGTCTTGTCCCCGTAATTTTTTATGTTTTTCTTTTTTTATCGCTAGTGTCAGTTACTCATTTTGTTAAAACAAGATAATACATAAAATCTTTAGACAGAGATATTTACACAAACGACACGTTGACTTCGTTATATCTTATTGAAAAGAAATCGAGTAATAAGGATTAACGTAACACAATATAATTACATCGGCGTCAGCGGAATTTGCATTGTTTGGCTACTTGTAAGCTATGAAACATGCATGAGCGTTAAGTCTACCCACAGTTTCACAGTCAACTTTGCTTAAATAATAAATATCAATCTCGACTGAACCGAGCGTTCGGCAAACGAAACAATTTGCCACCTAGCTTTTCGTATTTCACTCCGCGATAACTTTTGTCACGACGATGCGAACGGAAAAACAGCGTTCGTTTGAATCGTACCGAAAACGTGTCTGCATCGAAGCGACGTAACTTTAAATACATACCTATAGGTACGCCTATGTTAAGGTGCATATAGCACGCTAGCCAATCGGAATGAACGCTACGCAACTGTCACACAACATGAAAAAGATATCGCGCAAAAAGTTTGCGTCTTCGATTGGAATTGACTTGGGCGTCGTGTTTACAAAATCTAACTAGCTTCGGGCAAAAACGTGATAGTTTTTGTGCTGTCGACGACGCGAAGTAATCCAAACAAACAAAACAAAGAGAAAGAGAGAGAGAGAAAGAAGTTGGGGATAATCGCGCCATTGAGAAAGTACAAGAACAAAGTGAGAGACACGCGACGTCTACTCCGATTGACTGGCTGTTTGTTTATCTCGCTGACCAGCAAATTGTAAATTGAAGACGACTTACCATGGCTCTCGGTGTATACGTCGGGCAGGATCGCGAGTAGCACCAAAACCAGCACCAATTTGCACTGCACCGTCACACCACCGACGGTACATAGCGAATTCAAGCACCAGATATCACTCGGCATGTTTCTTGGGCGGCGAATCGCAATGCACAATGCTCACGCGAACGTCATGACAACCGGTAAATCACGTTTTTACGTTCCCGTGCTCTATCTGCTTTCGTGACGCACACACCACACCGTACTAGCCACCCAACCCGACTGCTCCGCCGGTTTGGACTGTTGCGACACCTCTGACGGATCTTCGACCCCCACCTCGCCGCGAGTATCGAGCCATCGAAATTCACGAACACTCACGAACTTTGCCGAGCTCGTAGCGCGCCGACTACAGCCACATTTAAAACGCTTACGTTACGTTCATCTGTTTCTCGTTACAGTATCTCTGCTCCTTCTTTTCCCCTCCTAATTCTTTGATAAGAATTATCCGTCATTTCTTCTTTCTTGACCTCTGTAAATAAGAATTGCCAATCAACGCATATTAATAGCAGAGATACGGAAATCATGAAACTGCTTTATTTGGAGTAGAGCAACCAAGGCAAGGGAAAATTTTTTAAAAATGTTTGATGGTTTGATATAAAATTTTTAAAGAAAATGTCCTTCCTTTTTTTGAAGAAAAGGTAAAGTAATAAAATTGGATTAAACGGATATTAAGCTCCGAATGTAAAAGGCGGGGTTTGGAGTATCGATCAAACTGTACAAAGGAGAACCGACAGAATCGATTGACGTTAATTTAAAACGCTACTTCGTCCAACCAGTTGGTTTTACATTTTTATCATGGATAACTTACGAAGGCAAGTGATAGATGATATAATCATCACTTGCCAAGAAAACAACGTGGACGTGACTGAAGATTTTGTTTCCTTTTTGGTACGTTTTGTTTCCTTTCTTGCACGCGAGAAATTAAATTCGATATTAAATTAACCTAATTCTTGTCTATATGTTAACAGCTCACTTTGTTTCAATTAAATCCTGTATATGGGCTTAAAGTAGACGACGAAGAAAACAATAAGAAAATTGTTCAGGCAATAGTTGAAAAGATATGCGATCAAGATAAACCAAGTTTAACGACATTGAAAAGTCAATTATATTTTGCGAAACACTATCATGATAGAGGTGAAAATAAACTTTAGATACGCCAAATGATCGATATATAGAACAGTTAAATATGTTTAATTTGTGTAGACGAAACTGTTAAGCGACACAGACTACGACTGCATCAAAAAACTGGACCAATAGTGGCAGAAATTTGTCAAACTGAGAAACTTGCGAATAAACAGGAGTCAGAAAAATTATACCAAAAGATGTTGGTGGTCATTACGTTTTTGAGTGGTCTTGGAAATCCTACTGTACCTTCTGTGCTGAGGTAACGATATTAAAAATCATCAACTACCGATTATTAGTCAGAGATAAAAAGTTTACTTTTTAGAGAAGTGTCGGTAGCATTGCAAAGCGTCTTTCAACCTTCAGAATTGGAACAATACATAAAAATGTCTAAGCGAGAAAAGGAAGAACAGCTAATGGAATTAATGTGCATAGTCGCAGGAATACGTCTATTTAATAGAGATTGTCAACGGGGAGGCGAGGGTATCGATGATTGTGAGTCCTTGACGATTATTACAATTACCAAAAAAAAAAAAAAACAGATCAGTAATGTAAAATATCTTTTAAGTGCCAGCTATTTTGCAAAGAGCTATCGAAAAGACCCGTGACTGTATCGTGGAATTTCTAGAAAATTTAATGTCAAGAATATATAAATTTACCGCGCTCGCCGACAAAATAATTTTCATTAAAGAATTAATACCATTTGACGTTTATACAAAAGAGAATGTAAACTGGGCAATCGAGATGTTGAGTGCATCTCGACAGCAAGAAATTTACATCAGGTGTGTTGTTAATAATAACTAACGATGACTAGTTAATAATAATAATAACTAACGATAATTTCGAAAATCAATTGTCTCTTTCTTATAGGAAATTGTTGAGCGACGTAGAACATAGTGAAAAAGAAATAAAAAATTACATGGAACGGCTACAAGAGCGTCTTTTTAAACTTCACGATACAGTAAGATACAGAACTGCCATTCCTACCGTTCAAGTATATGTAAGAAATCACATTGTATGTTTTTTTTTGTTCCATAAATTTCCCTCTTACAAGCATTAGATTTTACTTTCTAATTTGTTTAGCCACAATTTATCGATTTGGCGGATATATGGATGGGACTTCAAGATGAAGTTATTGTACTAAGTCGTATTAACAACTTTTTCTGGGAACTTCAAACTTTGGGAGCAAAGGTAATTGCTCAATATAATTGCATTTGTAGATGAACTGGTGAGAACTAAATATTCAATTCCATAGACTGTGAATGTATACAACGAACAGCTATTGAACGAAATGCTGTCTGACGCAGAAATCCTCACAGATGCTGAAAGATTAGAGCGGTCAATGGGTGAAATAATAAGTAAGAAGATGAATTATAGATTAAATTGTATCACTGTACTAGAATTGGAAAGTAACAAATTGAATTACGAGTTCCTTTTTCAGGTGAATGCGGCCAGTGCACTATCTATCATCCTAATGAAACCAAAGATTTTGAAAATATAAATTTAGAAGTAAAAGCAAAATACTAAAATAGAGAGAATTATACATAATAACGATATTTCGTAGGTTAATAAACTCATTATCAGTTTCTAGGATTTTGCGCGTGGAAGTTCGTTAATGGATACGGAGCATTGATCCCAGGAAATCCGAATAATGGTGTTATTAAATGGAGAGGAAAGTATTATGTATTCTGCTCAATTGCAACAGCCCTACACTTCGGTGAAGATCCTGATAGGTATCTTTGTCAGATTATAAAGATAAAAAATATTGACATAAATAATTAGATGAATAAAAATTTGTCATAGGTGTACTTATGAGGCTCTTGATTATATACGCAATCACTTTGAATATGTATATTTGTTTCAAGTATACGACGACATTCGTGCTCTACAAACGCAGGAAGTGTAAGTACTTACGTATTTGAGATGAACTTGATTAAAGTTATCAAAATAAAATTATATATAATTAATTAATTAATTATAATTAATAAGGCTATCGGAAGAAGGACCTCAGTTGAAAACTTGCCAACATCAAATGGTTCAAACAGATTTGCATATACTTCCACCTTTTATCGACAAGAATTATTCTTCGAGCATCTGGGAACTAAGAAACAGAGCGCTGCATTTAGTAAGTGTTGTTGTTAATTAACGATATGAATGAGAGAGGAAGATTTCATTTTTTTTTTCTTTTTCTAGGCAACTATAAGCAAATATAAGACACATAGTACGCAAACATATAAATCCAACTTCCGATATGGCATTTACGTACAAACAGCTCCGCCTCGAAACAAAGAAGTTCAAACGAGAAGAGATAATTATATGAACACAAAGAAACTGTTAACTTATATCTTTGGTTTGCGGGGGAGACGCGATGATAATCAACACGTATTATCTTTTTTAGAAGACGAACTCGAACATTTATAAACATTTAGTTCTATATATGAATTTGATATCAGTTTTGAAGGACAAACTGGATAGGAGTGTACGAGGACACCTATGATAAAATTAAGCTACAAAGGGCACTCTTAAAAAAAAAATGAAAGCAATATTTTTTAATAATATTCTCAAATACATTCACGAAATATCAGGGCATAACCTGTACTTTTCTTCGTTTAAAAAACAAACTGATATTATAATTTGTTATTCCTTGTATACGTTTATCATTATCTCCATTGTAATGTTTTCATTATTATTAATCGTTTGAAATGATTTCATTGTGGCTCCCATTAATTTAGGCCAGCATTCATTAATTTATATTCAAAATACACAAATTTTTCCATACAACGAGGTGTGAATATCCACACTAGGAGTAATTCTATACCTCGCATCATCAACCTATCTTATTTTCTACAATTCAACATTACGCAGTGCTGCACATATTGTGACTTTTAATATGCATGCATCGTATCTTCACTGAATACATTATTTTACCATTAAATCTTAAAAGTTAGGTCAATTTTTTACACCAAGAACCTATATTACGACAATAATTATTAATTACATGATAATACAATTAAATTTTGCTTAATAATAATTTTAGTGTATAATGTAACAATTATACAGAAGAGGTACAGGATGTTGATTTTTCGCATTGTCTTTCTCTTAATTTTTATCATATTCTTTTAGCCTTACCACATATCATTTCCCCTCTTACCCCTCTCTCTTTTTCTCACTCTCTCTCTCTCTCTCTCTCTCTCTCTTTCTGCTGTCAAAACTGTTTATCTCTCAGTTACATCCATTGCCGAAAGTAACCAACGTTAAAAATAAGAAGATGAAAATATTGTGTGATATTTGAGCGGCAGTTTGCAATAAAAAAAAAAAAAATAAATACAACTGTAATAATTGCTATTGGAATTCTTTATATTTACTCTGCTTGAAATGTTGACCGTCACATAATAAAATAAAAAAACAAAAATTCATTGTTGAACGAATGAATTTTTGAAGAATTTTAAAGCAGTTTACTTCATTTTTACTGCCATTTATGGCACACCGTATTTTCATGTTTGATGAAAAAAACTGTTTACAATAACCACCAGGCAAACAATAAAAAAACATTAACTCTGAATACATTGACTTAAAACCAGCTTATTGACTATCGGCCATTTTAATGTTTTCCACATTTCGAAATCATCCGCACGTCCATGGTACCAACCCTTCCTTTTTATATCATGACATTGACCAAATCTACATGGATTCCTACTTGTGGGTCATCATTTGCGTACACATTTTGGGCAGCTTTTAACAATGTTAACGAGCCACACTTTTAATAATGCCCATAAATTAAGATGCTACATTGCAAATATTCAATAAGATAAAGCAGCTACCATGGACAACAGAGTTCATCGGAATGATGTAAACATGGCTAAAGTCTTAAGTCGCAAGAAATATGTTTGTGTTTGTATGTATGTATATTTATGTATGTACCGTGTGAGAAAGATGGAGAGATGCTCATTGCATCTTGGAATATGTTATACAATGTTTATAATCTGTCAGATTCCATGGTTCGAGGATGACTTTAATCTATAAAGTGATTTTTAAGATATTTCATCATACCAAAAGTTCTGAAACGTTTTACTCCAATTACTTTTAATAATTCATCATCGCAGAGTGCATATTGCTTATTTTTAGGATCCTATAAAATAAAAAAAAAATACGTTAGAGTATTAAATATAATATAACAAAACAAAATTACACGGAACTCAAAACTTACATAAAGATTTCTTTCTTTAATGATACTCCAAATCTTCTTTACGACTTCGTGTCGAGCCATCTGTTCAGCACCAACAACAGCAGCAAGTTCCGGAGATAATGTTATAGCACGCGTGTAACCGCCCTTACCTCCCACACCTTTACCGCCTCCGCCACCTTTCTTTGCTCCACCACCTTGAGCTTTCTTAACCTTACCCCAATCCTCATCACTGTCGCTGTCACTACCTTTCTTTTTTCCTTTCTTGCCTGGTTTATCTGTCAAAAATATACCAAATTATAATTATGGAAATGAATGAATTTATACATATATATATGAAATTTTATAATCTACTTACTTTTCTTAGGAGTAGCTTTTGGTTTCTTTGGGTTATATTCTTCATCACTAGCATCATCATCACTTGCACTCTCCTCATCATCAGAAGATCCCTTCTTACGCTTACTCATTGTTTTCTTTGCAGGACTTCTTTTGGCTGGCTTCTTTTCTTCCTCCTCCTCTTCTTCCTCTGATCCTTCCTCCTCTTCCTCTTCTCCATCTTCAGATTCTTCACTAGCAGTCTTCTTCTTCTTCTTTGCTCCATCTTGTTTTTCTTGCAAACACTCCATGACTAAAGTGTCTACTTCTTTTTTCCTATACATAAATTAATCACAGAATCCACATTAAACGCAAAATTAAACTTGTTAACTAAAATAGATCTATATTCAACTTCAAAGAAAATGTTGAAGGAGGAACGAGGTAAAAACTTAAAAGAATAGTTTTACACAGAGATCCTTCATTTTATTTAGGATACAGATAATCTCACTCTTGAATTATGTAAATTACAAGAACGCCTGCTGTATCCAAATCACATGTTTATATATAAATTTTCCATACATTTTTTTATTATTAATTTCATTATAAGCATAAATACAAAAGAAATATAATGGATATTAATAAGGCATTTTAAAAAAATTCTTACCTTTCGGTGAGATCTATATCAAGTTTTCCTTCAATCTGTAGCCTTACTTTTTTAGCAGACATGGTGGTAAGATCCGCATCCTTAAGGATAGCTAAACACAAAAATATAAATTTAAAAAATTAACTTAACAATTCGAAATTTAATAAGCAGTAAGCAAATGTATTGATACAATATTCATTTTTAATCGATTTTTATTTTAAACATTGTACATGAATAATATTTAGTACATAAAATTTTACAAAATATAACTAATTATAATTTTATTAATGAAGAATCATTGTAATGGTATTAAAAAATTTAAAATATAAAATGTGTGGTCGAAATTGCGATAGCGTATTTTCCCGCGTTAGAGAGAGCTAGTAAATACTGAATGAAAATGGCAACCATATACTGCCGGTTGCCGATTCCCCGTATTATAAAGAAAAAAAATTCAGATAATTAACTTCATCGCGAAAATGTAATAAATTAATTGCATTTCTAAAATGGCTTTCTTTGCATTGGTTGATCGATCGTAGTATACATTGAACCTTGGAATGATGGAAAATAGCTAAAAGTTCAATCACGTATATACGATAAAGGTCCGAGCGGATCGGTGGCGTAATTCATATTTCGGTTAGAAAAACAATAAATGTAGGAGGGAAAAATTTGGAATTAAGAGAAAAATATTGAGAAATATCGGTGGTGTGTCCATTTTGATGCGGCGGGAAAAGGTAAAAATACTGAATATTCGTAACGACGAAATACAATGTAACTCCAACTATAACAAGCGAATAAAATTCGAGGCACGAAAGCTATATTTGGATTGGCAAAATAAAAAATAAGATCCATTGAAATATTCTAGAAAATGAGGGCATGGTCCATGCTGAGATCGCTTTTCACAGTGCAAAAGACGTTGAAGACAAGAGAAAGAGTGAGATATGAAACATGCGATGGCTTCAGGCGCGCGCCACCACAGCCAGACGCGTCATACAGTATACTATAGAATTGGATATGGAAAGCGATCATTTCTAAAAAAACCAAGGGAAAATCGAAATTTTTGCAAGACATCAAAAAATTTTAGAAAAATTTCAATTGCAGATTACACGAAACGGTTTGGAGATGCAATATCTCAATACAGCTGTACGTAAGTGAAAATACGATGAATCGTGGTTGTAATGGCCGGCGTGGGGCACGCCACTTCGTCACATACGTGCGCGCTAAAGTCGTCACGTCGCAAGAGCAAACAGCCCGATTTCCTACATATTCCTACTCGCAAACGTGCGAATAACTTGCACCACGAATGATAACTAACTTAATTTTATCATATTCGAAGATCAGAGTATGGTAAATCAAAGGATATCATTACTTACCGGTGATTTCTTTACGGAGCTCTTCGTTCGAAATATCAGCCATGATAGACCTTCTCGTTGTGCGTATTGCTGCCAACTGAACCTATGCCGGCTGCGGACTGCCGTAGCGTCCGTTGGTACAGTCACCCTATACAGTGAGTCGAAAATGTGTTACCTATATGAAACTTTAAAAACAGATATCTCAGTAGGGATACGTTAAAAATAAATACTATATACACCAAATCGTGTTAGTTTTTTACGATCTACAAGTTTCTCATGACGCCCCACTCGTAATTTTGCGATCGAATGGTCCTATTCAGACGTTCCGCCAACACATTCATGAAAACTTTTTGGTCGTAACTGTACTTTAAGCGACCGCTCGTGGCTGCCGGTGGCGTCTACAGTACAGTCGACTCATGTACCTAGTACTATTTCTCTTCCAGAAAATATATTTTCAATAACCTATAATATTGCTGCCTAACATTCTAGAAAAATATCATATACACCAATTTTCGGATTAATTTTTCTTTCTTTACAAATTTCTTATAACGTTCAGCGGTCAATAGTATATATAATTAATGGACCGAAATATGATTTTTCTCAATTCTTCGAACTGTTTTATCGAAATGGACTGTACAAAGCGACCACTCCGAGATTCATAGCATCAGGCATATAGTCGCATCATATGACAATCAGTATATATTCTACAGATATGTCATAAAAACTAGCAGCTTAATGAATATCGGTCGCGATTCCGACTTCGTTAGGCAAAATTACACATCGAGAATGGCGTTGCTGCAATCGGAAATTTTTTCTTTGTAGATCTCTTGTATCATCTACATGTATCGTCAATTTCATTATCTTTATCTATAACAACTCCAATATTTTGTTTACAGAAGAATTTCACAAATCAATATATTTAATGATATTAAGTGATCCATGTTTGGTTACCATAGTTAGTAGGTTTATGTAATAAATATATTTTTATCATACCTAAAAATTAATACATTCACGTATAATTGCATCCAATCAGTGCGATATTTTAATAGGCCGCGACTGTCGAAGCGACCACTCGGTTTCTTCCTCGCTTTAGTGGTACAGTAACTACTAACATGTTAGAAAGGATGCTCCGAAATAATGATCTTGGAAAATTCATAACTTTACAACCCTTAGTTCTAGAGGAATGTTGTATTTACAAAATCGTATCAGTTTTTTACGAAGAAAATATTTCTTAGGAAGCGCCTTGCTCGATTTTATCATCTAACATATGTATCTGGAAATTACACTAGCTATGATGCAAATACTTTTGGAGCTGACTATATCCTATCTAGCAGGTTCATTGAAAGATGAATTTCTCGATAAAATTTTATATAAATTTGTTTCAGAAACTTCATTAAAATAAATTGAATTTTTTTTCGGAACGATCTATGTGTTGAAATCCTTTTATTTTAGCCTAGATTATATATTTACTGATGACACGTCGAAATGTAATGCCGCCACGGGTGTTTGAACGCTTTAAAATGGCGGTTTCATTTTTCGCGGATTTATTTCGAGAACACGATTTATTATTAACAATCAGTTTAATTATCTTACAATATTGAACTATTTCTTCCCAGTGTACAATCTTATATTTCGTTTATGAGTATATTTTCTACAAAAACTTTAACTATCTGTATAGGAATTGATAATATTATGAACTTTCGCCAAAAGTATGTAGTTTTCCCTCGCAATCTTTTGTCATTTCCGGTGCAACAACACCATTGCTTTAATTATGAGAAATAATGTGTTTGTTACTTACAACTGTTCGTCAAATATTTCATAATGTATTATAAAAATGCGTTTTGATGAATGAACAAATATCTTATCATCGTTTATTTTATATACAACTCGAGCTACGATTGCAGAATTGTCTCGAAAATATTGATATTTTCAAGAGACAGATGAGTTTGCTGCGCCATCTAACGTTGCATTATGCACTTTAATCCTATCAGCAGATAAAGACATCGTAGTAAGAAATGGTGGACAAATTGAATACGTACATTTTTCCTTGTATAGAATGTAAATTCTAATATTTTCATCGTATTAATTTTATAAGTTATGATAATAATATAACTATGTTAAGTATTTGAGATTTAAAATATATGCAATTTTATAAAGTTCCTCGCACAAACGATCTCGTCTATGATTCTTCGTATTCCCATATTCTGAAATACCGATTGCCTAAAAGAACAGGAACACAGCCACAGACGAGATATATTATTTTCTATATAAATTAGTATTATATGTCACAGACTTGTAAATTAGCACTTAGTACATGTCAACTGAATTATAAGTTTAAAACTAACCGTGCAAACGTAGTTTCATTTTGTAAAATTACATATAGAAATTACAGTATTTATGGTTACCTTAAATTAAAACAATAATACAATAAATAAAACAATAGGGCTATAAACAATAAAACTATAAAATTGTAAAATTTTAACTAAATAAAACCTAAAAACTGTAAAATTATTGATTGGACTTTTCGGTATTGAATGATAGATAATACTGTAATGGGTTTCAAAAATCATATTCCTGGCGCATTCACTACTTGACCAGCCTCGATCGTTTTACTTGATGTAATTCCCCAATTCACCGTTCTTTAAACGTAGAGTGCGCTAAAAAACCAGTGATTTTTTACTATGTCGGTATTTCGGATCTCCGGCCACGAAACCCCGTAAGGTGCAAGGTCTATTCATATACCTCGTCTGTGCCTGTACAAAGAATTAGATACGAGTGCCATCTGACGACGAAAGAACGAACCGAAAAGAGCGCAAAACAAACTTCAATAATTGAAATATTGCATTTATTCTGTTTCATACCAGAAAATAGAGGAAGAAACTTAATTAATAACGATGACAATGATGATGATAATAATAATAATAATATACGTGTGGATTTATTCACAATCATTAGCATGAAACGAATTAATGATAATTTTACATTTATTAAACGCTACGGTCTATCACAATAAATTCTTCTCCTTGCTCACCGTTCGCGACTCGACGGCTTTGTATAGAAATATATTTGAACAAACGAATGCTAACCGCTACTGAAACGTATATCGCATTTCGATGAAGGTCCCGGGTAGGGAGGGGTACCGTCGCGAAATTTTCGCACATCTATACATAGATATATCCATAATTAATTGTATAGTACATGTAGATGTACATATGTACAAGCTAGAAGTGAAGTGGAAAACGCGAGGACGAGATCCTCCTTGCATCCTCCTTGCTGGATATGTTATAAAGGCGTAAAGCTACAAACTACGGTACGTATTTTGGTCCGATCTTTCATTAGCCCGATCCTATATCTCGAAAATATTCGAAAAGCTGACCGTGTATGCAAGCGAGCAGTATTCGGCCCCTATTATTACGTATGTATCCTATTTAGAACCGCGTTTTAACTTTTCTCGATTGAAGTTCGAAGACTGTAAGACCATAAAAACCAAGAGACGATGTACAGTGAGTACAGTTCTCGTAGAAATTGAAGTCCAAGATAGTACAAGATAGTACACGGAAGTACTTATATCATAGTACAAGTAGTTGTCCGACGACTCGTAGGAATTCGAGGTTCATTATTACAAGAACGTCTCGCATTTCTAATGTACATTCATGCTAAACATTAACAGTTTTCTTTGTACTTACTGTTCTAAAAAATTCTCTCTCTCTCTCTCTCTCTCTTTCTTTCTCTCTCTCTCTCTCTCTCTCTCTCTCTCAGTATGATTTACCGCTTTATCGATAAAGTACATTTTATTGCACTGTCCGATCACTGCAGTTCGACGAAAACGACAGCAACTGCTCTCTCTCTCTCTCTTTTTTTTAGCAATCATCTAAATCATTGTCAATTATTACCACGGTAGAAAAATAGAGGGAACGATGCGAGTGATAAAATCAAAATTCAGGCATGTGCGTGACGTGTGTGCCTATATGTCGTGTTATACATCGTGTACGCAATATATTTACAATATATTTACGCGCGTGCACCCGATGTACGACGCGAATATAGTAACGCGCGCAAGCCATGCAATTTTGATATATCGTCAGTTTTATTTTAAAAAATCGCAAGACCGACGGAGTTTTCTTCTCTTTCCATTCTTCTCTCTACCTAAAAAGTCCTCGACAATCGACTTAAAATATTTTATTCGCTCGTTTCTTTTTTCTTTTTTTTTTTTTCTTTTCTTTATCGCTAATGATTGCGTTCAATCGGAAAAAAATAACGTTCCTGCGCGTGTCTATATGCGATTATAACTACGGCAAATATTCACTTTCTCTCATTCGACTGAAAAAAAACTCCGAGCACTCGTCGAGTAAGTACTACTGTTCCAATAACGATATTTGCTCATGCGCCTCGCCATCGGAAATACTGAACGTTTCGATCCTCCTTCCAGGCTGGATTATCTTTTTTTGTCATAGCTTCGTATGCTTCACACTGTCCGTCCAATAGTTTTGTATTGTCATCGCCTCTAGCGAATTTAAGAACGAGTCATTGTCCAAGCTGTACATCTCTTCGGAATTGTCCTGCAAACAAGAGTCACCGTGTTATGACTAAACAGATGAACAGTCAGTGAACGTCGCAATATTTTAAATGTAAATTTAAATTTAAGTTTAAATTAAATAAATTTTAATCTAATACAGGGCGGGCCAAAAATCACTTCCTACAAAAATAAATCCGTAATTTTCTTATTATATATCTTTTTTTCATTCCCCCTTTTTTTTTTACAGATTAAAGTTCATGCTTGAACTTAAATTTAAAATTGATAAAAATCGTTTTCTCTTATACCTTTGATGTCTTATAAAAAAATAAAAAAAATAGGTGAGAAGAAACTTTTGGCCCACCCAGTATTAATTATTCATGATCTGACAAAATCATGGTAAACTGCAACGCGTTTTTCAATACTTACACGAATCGTGGAGTCATCGATGTAACCAGAACTATCGGGATTACTGCATTTGTCGCTGTTAAGCGTTTGCGGCGGATTCAGATACCTACGTCTGTAACCGAAAATGTTGCTCAATACCGAAAATTTGTATCATCTTCTGTTTTAACCAGGCGAGTGTTCGTGTCGCGTTGATTACCTGTACATAATGAATCCAAGGCTACCCATTGTGCTGAGCAGAACTACAGTCGCTAGGCAACTTCCGGTAATAGCGGCAATGTCCACCGTTGATCTCGAACCGCCTTCCTGCTTCGAATTCTCGCTATTACTTTCGTTGTAGTCGATCTGGTTTTCCTGTACCTGATCCCTTCCGAAACCTTTGGGAAACGCTCTGCTCGACCGCGTTGACTCGCTCACTCCAACTATAATTGCATCCAGATCATTTCAAAACGAGGAAATCTCTCTGCTTTTATTTTATGTTATCGAATCAAAAGATTATCTGAAATAACTAAAAATTGCTAAAATAACTAAAATAATCTGTAAGATCTAAAGACTATGGTTTGAATTTAAAGATTATCTAATATAACTAAAATAATCTGTAAGATCTAAAGATTATGGTTTGAATGTAAAGAAATCACCTAAAATAATTAAAAGTTACTAAAATAACTTAAAATAAAATAATTATACTTGAATCTTACTCTAACTTTAACTCTCTAGAAGCGACATCCGATTGACAATTTTTGATCATTTTCATAGGTTTAAATTATATCACAGACGAATAAATCTCATTTGTGATTATATTAACACATTCATGACCGGTAACGTAGTTGTAAGTTATTTCAAATTTCTGCCGGTACTATTGTTGTTTCTATTGTCATTTCAAAATTGGCGCTCCTGCTAAACCGCGAGGCTTATATAACATAAACAAAAAGAACGTAGAAATTTTTGGCATCAATTCGACACATCGAAAACAAAATAGCTGCTATTTTCATAATTTTCACAGAAATGGAAATGTTGCATCGTCAATCCCTAGAGAATATTGTTCACTTTTGATCTTTTCTTGCCTTTCTGTTGCAAAACTGAAATCCCGTTTGGCTGGAATCATGTTGCCGTTAAAAAGTTAAATAAGAGCTCTCTTGTTTTCTCATTTAATGTCGCTTTTCATAGTTTCATAATGTGTTAAAATAAACCACAGAAGCTCATGTCGATCAGGTATGTACTATTTGTTTCACAATCCCTCCAAAGTATTCGTAATTTTTAGACCCGACGAACTAACTGTCCTGCCCCCTTAAATAAATAAGCGAACATTTCTCCTCGCGTCAGGAAATCGAACCATTCACCTTCTAAAATCGACGCGGCCGTGGCGAACAACTGCGGCTCGATGAACTCCCCGTTGATTTCGACGTCGTCCGATCGATTGAACGTCCTGACGCCGGGACTGCCGGCGGACGACGACAAAAGCGAGGAGGATTTCGTTTTGTTCAGTACCAGCCTGATTCTAGACACCTCTTCCTGAAGAGGTAGCACCGTGAGATCCTCCACTTGGTCCGCGCTGGCGTTCCGGTTCCCGTTTTCGTCGACTTTCCCCTCCTGTTCGTATTTCGACCTGCCGCCAGTTTTGTTCGTCGTTAAGATCCACGTGATCTTGCTGTCCTTCTTCGTCGCGGGGTTCCGAACCCTGTCCACACCGTCGGCGTGAAACTGCGGCGTGAAACTTTTCGCGGTGTCCACGTTCACCGCGTTGCTCGCGTTACCACCGTGATAATCCTCCATGGGACTGGTGCTGGTCTCGATGACACTCGCTCCGTGATAATCCTCCATGGGGGTGGAGGCGGTGCTCGGCTGCCTGTCCGAGGTCACGGCCGCGTTCGTCGGAGGATGAAGACCGATCGCTTTGGCCACGCGGAAGCTCTGACAAGGATCGGCCCTCTCCGCTTCAATCGCAGCGATCTCCGACGTCGATTCTGTACTCAGGCGATCCTGCACCTGGCCACCACGCGGTTCTGCCGTGCTCGACGGCACTGGGCTCCCTAAAATCACTGAAAAATCGAAACGTTTCCATGTCAGATGTAAAACAGAAGTCTGTTCACACGAAGTCTGTTCTATCTGCTATCTGCTAGTAGCTTTAGCTGACTATCTGACTGTGAGCAATTTGTCAAAGGAGAGGAGGCAAGTGGACGTCTCCGAACAATGATCTCTCTATGAGATCTCTCTATCTAAGGTGGGAAGAAAAGTTTGTCCGTGGCTATCACAGATGAACTCTATTTACATATCTTTGATAACTTGCCACAAAATTGATCTTGATCTCTAATTTCAAGTGCAATTTTTTTTTTTTTTTTCTTTTTTGCATTGTATTCTACTTATTACGAAGATAAAAATTTTCCAAGGCACCAGTTCTTATGAAAAATGAGAAAAAAGTTTCTTAACACTGCGGATGCGTGCGTGCTAACAGCGACTTTATGGTTCCGGACGCGTGGATGTCTATTTTACATAATTTTCGTATTAGGTTTCACTAACATAACGATTTATCATAGTTTGTGACATCAGTGTGAGTCTAAATAATCAAAACTAACTGTTAACATTATTCGAAATATAAACATTACGTAATATATTCTCTATGTATAGAGTGCTCAACCACCTTTGCACAGTTAACCATCTATTTGTGCATACATAAAAACAATTTGGGGAATATCCGAATTTTATTACGTCAAGAATCTTAAGATCCTATTTCATACTTTCTATTGACGTTGAGTTAGTTGCACACCATTGATTATTCTACGTTCAAAGTATTCAGTTCAATAATTTCTAATTATTGTTAATTGTTCTTATTTATTTTTTTCCTCCCGTTGTTCTTATTTATTTATTTACTTTTTTCCTTTCCGTAATTAATTATTCTTCAATAGAGAATTCTTGTACAATTTCGCGATCGTGCTGAGGAACACGTTCGAACGTTGTGCGATAAGTACTCGAACCTCGTTTAGAAGATAATTTATTTAGCAATGCAAATGTACATGCATTTAGCAATGCAAATGCAAATGCATACAAGTTTCGAAAGTGAGGATGATATTGTTCGACCGAAAAAACGTTTAATTGTACTGAGCAGCAATGAAGAAGTTCATTTAAACGAAGATTACACAATTAAACACAATTAATTAAAGATAGTTTATATGTATTTACATAAATTTCTTTTTGTTTGCGTTTTATAAATTTATTATTATTATTGATAATTTTAAATTAACATGACAAAATAAAGTTTTATAGTAAAAATATATTTTAGTAATAATTAAAAATTAATAATATTATTTATAGTTTAAAGTTGTGAAAATGAATTTTTTAAAAATGAATAAGTAAAATTTATTTTGTACCCTTTGCATCAGGGTTAATTAATTTATTTTAATAATCTAACTATTTCGAAAGTAATGATCTAAATATATATATATATTATTTTTTTGTAAAATAAAAAAAATAAATATATATTTAGAAATTAAATGTTTGTTGTACTTATTAATATCTAATTTTTTTTAAATAAATTTAAATAAAATAAAATAATAAAAATTACAAAAATAAAATGGAATAATAAAAATTATAAAAATAAAATAAAATTACAAAAATTACGAAAATAAAATAAAATAATAAAAATTATAAAAATAAAATAAAATTACAAAAATTACAAAAATAAAATAAAATAATAAAAATTAAAAAAACAAAATGAAATAATAAAAATTATAAAAATAAAATAAAATTACAAAAATTACGAAAATAAAATAAAATAATAAAAATTACAAAAATAAAATGAAATAATAAAAATTATAAAAATAAAATAAAATTACAAAAATTACGAAAATAAAATAAAATAATAAAAATTATAAAAATATAACTTTAAAAATTATTTATTTTTAAGTTCTTTGGAACGTAACTCCCCTTTCCACCTAGTCACGTGTAACACGGTTTCACTCGACATGCTATTTTGCAGAAACCTATCTATCTGTCCGTGTCATAAAAAGGCTATTTGTGTTGGAGACCACGTAAAAGAAGTATTGTATCTAAAAACGTACCGAGAAATTGTGCGGTAACCCAGAACCAGTGCATCCACCAATGCAACGTCATCGCGTCATCTGTGTGTGCCTGAAACAGAGTTGAAAAGAAAATCAGCCGACCGAAAGAATGCGAATAACAATGAAGGAGTTCATCGATTTGTCGCAAATCGACTGTCCGCGAGAATATCGTGGAACGATCATGAAACACGCTTGACAATGAGTACACGCTTTCGGATATTGATGAACCATCGTGGAGAAGCCATTTCGCTATCTCCAATGTGAATCGTAACGATATCTAAATTAAAAAACAGTCGAAGTAGAGGATGAAATCTTTTATTAGATAAACCTTTTGTTCTCTTGGCGCCCTACTCTCTATTGTTCATGTTAACGACGCGAAACGATTGTACAGATAGAGATTCCTGCGATAAATGTCCACCTTTTTTTAAAATGATAATACAATCGATATAGAAAATATATATTTGTGAAAATACGGGGTGGGTCAAAAGTTCCTTCCCCCTTATTTCTCTTTCACGAAACATCAAAATGTAAGGAAAAACTAGATTTCACTACTACTAAATTAAATTTAACTGATTTCTTTTCATTATGTTTGAACATTTCGTTGTAACTTTTCAAATGAAAACGGACAAGAAGAACAGTTAATACGATACAACGTATCCACTGAAAACTAAAAAAACTGAAAATTCACATTTGACAACCCATACGTGTAATGAGATCGAGCCATCTCACCTATGCCATGTGCCACAGAGTACGCGAAAGTGCTCGTTGAAAATTTCCCTTTCCTCTTGTTCCAATCGTGTAAATTATGTCGACGGATCTGTGTCGATGAATTTTGACTCTGGTAGCCCTTTCATTATGCCTGTCGGGACAATGATGTCCATTAGTCACGTGAGCACGCGGATATACCAGACGTCGACGAGGACAGAGTGCCGCTCCGAAGCCTCGTACTCGACGAACGCGCGATCGAAAGATCGATTTGGAACAGGGCTTCTCAAAGTGTGTGATCGTAACTAAATTTCGGGGGGACGCAGTTCGCAGAAATTTTAGCAAAACTAAAAAAATTAGTGCAGAATATTTGCCTTTGTCATACGAAAGAATAAATTTTCTTTGCGATTTATTATCAACAAATATTCATATTTCTATTTTTAATTGTAATCGATCGTAATTGTTCCTAGTTTATACAACCCTGTACCCAGGCTCGTGAAAGTATTTGCACAGATAAAAGTGGTCGCCGAGTGGAGAAGTTTGAGAAGAGACTGATTCAGAGCACGTAGCACGTAGCAAGCCTGATTCAAGCTTTTAGCAGCTTTTCATTTTTCATCGACCAGCCGAAAACCTCGCCGATAACGATCACACAGCGAGTACTTTCGATTATCGTCGCACGTGATTGAAAAGCAAACTCTGCCGATCGAGGCGATGCGCTATCTAGCACTGGAAGATCGGCCGAGGCAACCGCGGCTACCTCGTCATCCAGAAAATCGGATACTTAAGTGAGTAATCGATTGCTCAATCCGCTCCGGCGTGACTCACCGTCAGAAGCGGAGCAAGGAATTTCAAGAATCGAAGGTAGGATCGCTGAATCACGGGCGATCTACTGTCGCGAGAAATCGAATGTGTAATTTTCAATTGCGCGTTTAAAATTGTTCGAAACAGTTTGAAGAAAACTGTTTAACCACGTAACGAACTGAGAATGCGTACACCTTTAAACCGATGCTTTCTGACATATTTATTGAAAATATTTCCATACATTGAATTTATATTCACTGATGTTTATTGAAAATATAAATATACTAATGCGTTGTTTCGTTTGAACCTCCAATAAGTAAATCAATTTATTTTATTATTTGTATAATGCTCTGGTACGAACTCAAGTACTCAAAGTGTTAATAGTAAAATTGTAACTTTATTATTACTATAGTATATATTATTACTATAGTATATATTATAATATGTATATGTACTATATGTATACTATAGTATATTATACTATGTACTTCGTATGCTAGTATATTAGTATACTATACTATTACTATACTGTATATATAGCATACAGTACATTATATATACTATTACTATATACTATATACTATAGTATACTGTATAGTAATAGTATAGTATAGTATATTATAGTATACTGTATAGTAATAGTATAGTATAGTATACTGTATAGTATACTATAGTATACTGTATAGTAATAGTACACTGTATACTATAGTATACTGTATAGTAATAGTACACTATATACTATAGTATACTGTATAGTAATAGTATACTATATACTATAGTAATAGTATGCTATTGTATTATAGTAATAGTATACTATTGTATACTATTATAGTATAATATTATATAGCTATATACTATATATAAGTAGTGTAATAGTATACTATAGTAAGTGCAATAACATATTATATACTACGGTAATAGTATACTATAGTGTACTATATAATATTATAGTATAAACTATAATACGCAAGAGGTTAAATAAATCAATAAAAACATTCGTTTTTCCAGATGCTCGAAAGGGCATGTTCTGGCTTAACTTGGAGAGACGAGTTTTTCAGGGAAGTTCGGCGAGATGAAAAAGGTGCGCACACGAGGAAGTTCGACGCGGCTCGGACGTGTTTCCTGACAAAGCGAGAAGTCGGGGTACACGAAAAGAGGAAAAAAGAAAATCAGGTACTGTTACCCGCAGAGAGCAGTCATGCTCTCCTGACTGTAACCAGTTGCGCCTGGATGCGCGCCGCGACGCCCAGTGTCAGCCTCTGTCGCAATTTTCCAGCCTCTGGGCCCAGCCTTCGTCGAGATATGCCGGAATCAACGTCACGTAACCGCTCCCTTTCCGCTTGCTAAACGCTCCATTCGTTCTATCGAAATCGCAACCGGTGACGTCAGAGGCAAACAACGCTCAGAACAACGAGAGAAAAATCAGGCGAAAATTTTATCACGGTATCGCGTGAGTTTGTCAACGATGATGTCACCGAAACGATTGTTCCTTAACGAAAGTTTAGTATTTGGTATTTGGTACTTGGTACTTGGTACTTGGTACTTGGCATTTCGTAAAAGTTAGGTAAATTTTATATTAAATAACAAATACTTATCCAATTCATATGTATCAATACGATTACAGAATTATACTATGCGTATTGTTAATTTAGTGTAACAACATCTTTATTCAAAATTTCCATTCAGTTATTAATAATTTTAGATTAATTACAATCATTTCATAATTATCGCCTTATTTTAATTTACTGCTTTATTTAGTTTAAAAGTATGTATGCGTTAAATTTAAAATAGTTTAAATGCATTTGGTTTAAATAAAATGTTAAAATGTTAAATTTCTTTACGAGATCAAATAACGTAGTAAACAATACTGGAATTCTGGACGCTTAAGTGGGGCATTACTGTACTAACGAAACTCGATACGTTAGCTGCAAAAATTGTTAGTTAATTATTTCAATCGTTTTAGGTAATAATTCGAAGTATTTAATTCCCAGGGAAAGAGCAGTAGAAATACAATACAAAACTTTGAAAATTTTAATTTTGTAAAACTGCCGTGTCCTTGCTACTTAAAATCGACGTATCGTCGAAATAACATCCACATTTAACAAAATAACACATCTTCGAACAGTCAGTTAAAAAAATTTTATTTCAAACCACAATTCGCATTGTGGGCTCATTTATCCCACTGTCTTACCTACCAGAGAGTGAACAATTAAATGACTGTTTCAAGTGCACAGAGCCTCGCGTTTTCCTCTTAGACCAGAGATGACGAGGATGATGATTGAATGCCATGTCACGTACTACTTATTGCTGGCATTGTATAACCTTGTTACTTCGTAGCGATACGTGTAGATATGAAGCATACTTTGTATACAGGGTGTCCATAAAGTGTCTTTACAATTTCAAAAATTTATTACAAAGGCAAATGAAAAGACAGATAAGTGAAAATTGTTACAAAATGAGACGTATATATTTAAGTTCTCTTCGCCTTATTTAATACACCTCTATAAATAAATTTTTGAAATTGCAAAGAGATACCCTGTATATATATATATATATATATATATATATATATATATATATATATATATATATATATATGTACGTGTGGTGATATGTGTGGCGAAGTAATTGCTGCGATGTACGTACACGCGTTTAAGAAGAGGCGAGGATTCGGGATCGTGTCAAAGAGCGTGACCTTGCCAAGCGAGACGATTGGATGAATGATGCCGCGTGCACGAGTTCCTGAACCGCGCGACATTACGTTCAGCTGCGTACAGTGACCCTTTTGCCAGTTAATTCTAACGCGGCGTGGCGAAATTCATCAACTCGATGATTCGAAAGATGTAAAACGACTGAAATTCTTTTTAATTTACAAATACACGGTTCGTGAAAAAGGTAGCGACACGATTTCTTGATTAATCGCTCGAACAGACGAACTCCAAAAAATTCACGCCAATTATTAACACCACGAAACTCGAGTTCGAGTCAAGTGATTTTAATGGCTGATGTAAATTTTCTTGTTCCCAACGTTGATATTTTCTAAAACGTACGTACGACCTTGATTCCCGGATGTTACGACTGTTCGTCGATCGGCGCGTTACACATTTACACATACTGATTAATAATTAAATTATTAGTAATAAGTTATTGTTGCGCATATGTACACGCAACGTTTGTAGAGATCAAATAAGTATCCGCGTCGAAGTACACTTACGAGTAGTAAACTGAAAGCGAGAGTAAACGATCCGCGATGTAATTGGCAACACCGCGTTTCAGTTAATTACACGGCGATCACTGCGTATATACCAGTGAATCATTGCAGATAGTCAGACATAATAAACACGGGACCGTGTAATCCGAGGTGTTACATGTACTACATATGTTCATCGATATCGAGAACGCAGACGATATTAACAGGCAATAACGAAAGGGTTCGGACGAGTGGCTCGTGCCACTTCGTTTCTAGACCAAAAAACTCAGTCGCTGGTCGCATTCCGCGTGCTCTTATTTCACGGTGCGTGAAACGCTCGAGCGTTGATTAATGCGAGTTTTAAGCGATTAAAC